AAGTAATTCATCGAGTGCGCAGCTTTTGAGTGATTCGCGACTCATACGCGCGTACGCGACCGAATTGAAAATTTCGTCGCTGCTGCTGCCGCTTCTGCTTCTGCTGCTTTTGCCCTGGGTATTCTCCCTCTCTCGTTTTTGACACGTATATTAACGTTGTAACAAATTAACATACACATATGCAAACACGCACGCGCCAATGACTTTTAAAACGAATATAACGCGCATATACACGAGCCGGCTTTGGCAATTTCGTGGCTCACTCAACGATTTTACCTTAATTCCGACGGATCGTCCGAAATTTTACATTTAATGAAAAAAAATGAAATTATTAACAACTTGTAAAGCTGTCGTGGCAGCTCGCTAAGTCGACGGATATTAGCTTGTTATTTTTTAATCTGTCGCCGCTGCCCAATTGTGCCGGTCGCGCCATGGAAATGGAAAAAACTAGCAAATAAAGCATACTTTTCCTCGCGAAAAAATTCGTGTTGATGCGGCATGGACGGGCTAGCAGGAAAAAAACTGCTTCCATTTGCGTAAATATGGGTCCAAACAATTGCGCATTTATATGTACGATACACATGCATTGGGCGTTATATTTAAATGAGCAAACATCTCATGAATGTTAAATCCATCGATGGATGTATTTCGTGTCTCATTTTTTTCTCTCTCGTATCTTCATTGTACCGATTGCTGCAGCTACGCAGTATAATCTAGGTATGTGTGAACGGTATTGCGGTATTTTGCACAGAATTTTGCAATAATCTATACCTGATTGCTTCGATTCTCTCGTTTTGCTCGGTTCAATACACTATCAAGACATTAGAAAAAGACCCATCGTCTAGCGGAAAAATTTCCCATCATAAATAATAAATTGTTATCGTTGTGGTTAGCGTAATACAAAATGTTCTTCCGATTAATAAATCGATCTAAAAATAAAAGCTATTAATGCGTAGAAGGAGTCACGAGTCAATAGCACAAGTCGTATACACGTCTTTTTTTGGAGAGAAAAAAAATGAATTTATTTTAATCGGTCGAGCGTAAAGTTCACGCTCACGCTTATATAGAGTCATAGTAAAAGACTATAGAGGCGTATATAGAGGCAAGATTGAAGGAGAGAAAGAATAAGAATCAAACGAGCGTGTCGCCGGTCTGGCAATTCTATACATAGTCTCACACGCATCCGCATGTAATCCCAGCAGCGCAGTTCGGTACATATGAGTGTGTCTGTGTGTCTCTCTGTCTGTCTCTCTCTCACTCTCGGAGTTGGTACGTAAATGGCGTGCGAAGGGCTTAATTTACATGTTGAAGAAGCAAAACAAAACAAGGAAAAAATTGCCCACTCACCTAATAATATACTCGAAATGGTCGTCGTCGTCGTCCTCCTCGTCGAGTACTTGGGGTACGCGCGTACTACTGTCACTGCACGACTACTATCTTTTAAAGGGCGTGCACTGACACTTTGCTCACTGCTTTACAAAATCACTAATATTCCAGAAAAGCGGAATAAATATCGTGCTTCGCTGTATATTTACTTTTTTCCCATACACAAACACACGCACGCACTGCTTCACTATCGCGGCTTGTAAATCGAGCGAAACAAAAAAAACAACAGCCGACTGAGTATTAGTCGCACACGTGCCGGCACTTAGCCCGCGATGAACTTATCCGACTCTCGTCGTCGTCGTTGTCGGCGGCGGCTGTCGGCGAAGCGATTCGGAAGTGGATGTCGACGAAAACTCACTGCGGCCAGTCGATCACTTGTATAACACGCGAGAGATATCGTATTATCGTAGGTTGCGTCTAGGGAAAATAACGAGCACGCACCACTGTCAGCCGCGCGACACACAGCCAAAGGAGGAACGACACGCATGTGCCGATGCGAAAAGCTACGATATATATACGATCACGAGGATGCGCGACGCAGCCGTCGGAATAGAAAGAAGCGCGCGCGATGCCCGCCAAACGAGCACTGACGGGGCCGCGCGGAAAGCAATATTATACGGGCGCCGCCGCCCGCTACTACTACTACTACTACTACTACTACTACTCTACTACTGCCGCCGCCGTCGTCACCGCCTCCGTTTTCTGCCCGGCGCGTATCTCTATATAGCCTGCCTACTACGTGCACTCACACACACACGTACATGCTATACGTATAAATTCGCCGGCAACGCGGAGCTTGCGCGTCAGCAGCTTCCACTCGCTGCTGCTATAGCAGCTCCTGCTTATATAGCTGCTCCTGCTGCACCCGAGCTACAGACACAGAGAGATAGTCCCGCTTAAATATTCGACGGGACGTATTATTATTAAAACTGTTTTTAGCTGGCAGGATTATCAATATCAAGAAATGAAATTTACGCTTAAATGAAAGTTCGTGCGGTTCTGTAAATTTGCCAATTTTTTAATCGTTACGCGTGAGCACTGACTCTGCCGCGCTGCAGCACGACCGTACTCCGGGCAAATTCGAATCGATGAGTTCTCCGGGTGATGTATATTGCGCGCACGGCATTACATTCGCATGACAATCATGTTTGATTTGCAACTTCATAACGCGCACTTGATAATTCGCATGTTATGTTGGCTCTCCTCCGATCGCGTGTACGCGTGTAAGTCTGTGTCGGCGAGCGCTTCGTTCGTTGCGCCCTGTGCATGCATACATAGATGCGCATTCGGCATTCGGCAGTTCGACATTTTGATCAATTAGTCCTCGGACCCGAGGAATTTATATTTGCGCTCGCACGTGCATAGTTATCGTCTAAAGCTCGGCGCGCGCAAACCTAATCAGAATTAACAACGAATCATTCAGCAAAATGCGATTGTTGGCAGTGTATTAACTCTGCGGAGATCTCGGGGCTGCGTTGTTGGCTCGCAGATTTGGTATAGTGTTCCATGGCCTCTGACCATACCATACAAACCGAAAATGCACCTGTGCTGTCGTTCACGGCGTGTATATGTGTATACAGAAAGCGAGTAAAACTTGACTCATACGTCTCCTCGTTATCTTAATCGCTGGCTCGATTGCAAGCTCAAAAATAACAACAACCATTTGTATGAGGTGTCATAAACACCAAGTTGAGTTTCGCCTTGTTGTGCTGCGGCTGCCGCTGTGCGTACGCGAGTCTTTGCTATTCAGCGCTGGTAAAATCGCACGTGCGTAACAATGAGCGCGATGCATTTTCGCGCATACAAAATGGCACTTAGCACGAGTTGTATGTTTACTTTTTTTTGGCATAGAATTACCATTTTTGGAGGAAGAAAAGCGAATTGTTCCAGATTTTCGCACTACTCCGTATCAAGACGATAAACAAGGTGTTGCGAGCGGCTGATAAGATGCTAAATAAATGGATTATACTTGCAGGAGGTAAATGAGAAGACTTTATGTAAAGCGCATCCTCGCCGAAATAACAATGCCATTATTATTGGTACAGACAAATTTTTGCTCCGTCGGTTTGCATGTTGCAGGGCGATAGATCGCCATCGTTACTCACATTCATGTATACAGCACCTGCTATTACTGCTGCGCTCTCCTCTCCCTCTCACTCGGCAACATGGCCCAGCCCGAGGATCATTATACGCGCACTTAGATCTGAAGAAGGTGCGGGTGGTTTGGTAGTGCCTATACGTTGCCAGCGAGGCGAGCTGCAGCGAGCAAGCAAGCCACCAACTGCTCGTTAGGAGCCGCTTAGTTTTGTTCAACGAAAATCTAACTCTCTTTTGCCTGGCGCGCTTGCCCTTTCATAGATCTAGCTCCTTTCCCTTTTTCTTCCCTCATTCGCCCCCCTTTTTTTACTTTGTCGAAAGAATAATTCGCGAATCGTTTACCGCCAAATGATTTTTGCACGAGTTCCAAGTGTAACAATTTACGAGTAGGTAATTTTCATCGATCCTGTAATCCTCGCTACAGGGCGTTCGACGCAAAAACCTGTCGATCAAGCTCGCTGTTCGAATTGCTTTGCCACCGCAACGGCTTCCACAAATGGCGAGAGACCACTAAAAAGTCACAAAAACGCCTTGACAAATTTCTGAGGCCCGGTAATAACGATATATATTATACGGTGCTTAAACTGAATACGCGCAAAAAAGCCCGAAACGGCACGCAGGGGGATAGAGTATAAGATTGCGAAATCGGTGCGTACATATAAAAGAATGATTCTTTAAACGGCTATATCGTCGTCGATTCGGCAGAATGCGAAGAAAGAGAGAAAGAGAGAGAGAGAAAAGCAGGTAGAATAAGAAATGACGAAGCCAAGCAGTGCATTTTAATAGGTAAAGAACGGCCCCGAGTGAGAAAGTCGAGAAGGCATGTATTTCCATAAGATTGCAACCCGCACACATCTATACGTTCGCCTGGTAATCAATAATCAATCGACTTCGCCTGCAGTATTTCGTCCTTTTTTCTCCTTTTTTTGGCACTGCTTAGCCTTGGCTTTTGCTTGCTTTTTGTTGGCCGAATTCAATTCCACGATGGCACTTGGTCTAAACCGACATGCACACGCGCGAGGCTCCACAATGTCACTACATAAAACGAATTCGCTGATAGTCTCGTTTTATACGGAAGGAAATTTTTTGTCAAGGTAGGCAAGGTGAGTATGACCCAAGCTTTTTCGTTGCGAGAGATCCACCTATTCTAGTAAAGTGTACAACTAAATGTATCTATGCATTTTTAGAGCTAAATTACTGCAATATGAAGCTGGCAGTATTTGACTATGAGATAATACCAAGAATATGTTTGAATTAAATTTTCATTTAAACGCTGTAAAATATTTTGTAATTCAGAAAATTGGAGAGCACAGCAAAATTCCTCGCTTAAAACCATCGGGTACTACTTTATTGTCGAAATTAACTTTTAGAATCATTTTTTTTTCTTCAAATTGACACTTTGATGCTATACAAAATAATCACGATGGTTACCAACTGAATGGTTTTTGTTTGTTGTATACCGTAATATACCTTATTCAAATGTTGCTTTTTATTTTTCAAATGAAAAAACCTCTAACTTTGATCGTAGGTATTTTATTTCACTCGTACAATACATACATTAGATAAATAGTCCATTTTTAGAATGATGCCTATATTATAAATACGGTTTAATCAAGAAGGCCTCAAAAATTGTTTCATAATATGACATCAAAGATGCAATGTTCATGTTATTGAAAATGACAAATTTTCAAGTTTAAAATCGCCTTTTGATTTCTCCGTTTCATAATAGGGACATCGAATTTTTGAATAACTAGTGAGTAAAAGGACCATTGATATAACTATGATCAATTGACTATTTATCTGCAGCTTCTTTCTCAATTTCATGATATATTTTGATATGTCTACGTAAGTTGCATTTGTAGAAAAAGTACATATTACAATTTTCAGGATCCTCGGTACACGTCAATATTTCTCCCTCTTTGTGAACTACCTGCATGTGTCTTTGCAAATTGCACGATTTTTTAAATCCAGAGTTACATACTTCACATACGAATGGTAAATCCTTACTGTGAACTTCACCCATATGACGATTCAAACTTCTTTGCCCATTAAAAGTAACATTGCAAAGGGTGCACAGAATGAATTTACGTCCTTCGTGAACTTCTGTTAAGTGCCATGCCAAATGATCGCCATGATCAAATTTTTCATCGCATAATTCACACTGGAAATCCGTCAATTTGTTGTGAGCATTTTCCAAGTGCTGCACATATCGATAACTTTCGACAAATTCATCTGGACAAAAACTGCATCTATAGTCAATGACCGTTTTATGAACTTCTTCCACGTGCCGTCTCAAATTAAATCTCAAAGAAAAATTTTCACCACAAGTTTCGCATTTGAATTCTTTGGATTTTTGGTGAACTACTAGCATGTGTCTTACTATATTTCTAGCTCGTTTGAAAGTTTGGTCACATTGAGGACATTTTGTAGTACCTTGAGGTGCGTGCGCTGTGTCTCTGTGGCGCCTGATTTCACCTTTTGTGTCAAAATATTGACCACAAGTTTTGCATTTGTAACCAAACCATAGCCCATGCTCTTGTTTCATGTGCAAACTTAAATTGCAATGCTGGTTAAAACTTTTATCGCAATGATTACACTTCACCGGTCCAGGTGACTCATTTTCATAAACTGGCTTAAGAGTTAAAGATGGCATTGTACTTCCAATTAATTATTAATCGTCTTCTATTGAAATATGAGTTGTTGATCTGAAAAATTTGTTTGTATCAAAACCAATTTTTCATACATTATTTTTACGCGAAAAAAATAATATGTTTAAATTTCCATTAAAAAATATTATTGTTATAACGAGTTAATAGTAAATAATGGCCCTCGTATAAAATCGATAAAAATTTACCATAAAAACAAATTTTTAATTTGGAAAATTCTTGATATAGAAATTTTTAAGTAATAAATTACACTCACTTAAGTACTTTAGATGTTCCTCGCAGCCAGTGAGTTCTTACTTTGCGAACAGTTTATATAATTTTTAGTTTTAAGCTGACACATATTGGTTAGAGATCAATGTTATTGATTTTGTGTATACAGTAATGACTAGGTAATAATTCAAATGTTGATATTCATTGATATTTATAATTTATATCGTCTTCCTTTGCTCTTACTCTCATAAATATATTTTTTCACATGAATATTTCCACAACATAAACAAGTTTTAGTTGAAACTTTACATAGAATTTTCGATGGTCATCATCGCTGAGAGGATATAAACGAAACGTTTCCGCATGGTGCTTTCACACATATACAACATATAAATATAAACGTATAACGCGGAGAAACGAGAACATGTATAAGTATGTATACAGACGATATACAGCAGCAGCAGCAGCAACATATACGTACTCGAGCTAAACAATCAGGATGATAATAATACATACTCCCCCGCGGACGACAATGGCTCTTGCGAGGCGCGCTCGTAAATCCCTGCGCAGTCGAGCCGACGCTGCAGCAGCTACAGCAGCCTCGCAGCGTTGAAGTATATAAGGAGCGACGCACAATGGACACCGCGTGCACTGCAGCCGTTGTTGGATTACATATTATTATCATCATCGTGAGAGAGAGAAGAGAGAGACTCACGCAGATGTATATACACGTATATGGTCTTCTTTGTTTGTCACGAGACGAGGCGCATCGCGCATGTAAAGTCGCGTGCGGAGTGGGCCATTTTTCCAGAAGAAAAGCCGCCCGTTGATACAGCGCTATACATACAGCATGCGTAGTTCGTGTCGCTCTCTCGTATTATGTGTACCGCAGAGCGAGATGAAATGATGCGTGGGCTGCCGCACACGCGTACCTAATAAATTACACGCACTCATCGATCTCCGAGCTGTATATATATAGGGGAGACGAGATTGATTTTTTCGGATCAGTACGTGGAGCTGCTCTGTGGAGCCAATTTCGAGGGTGGCGCGCGTTTCTTCATCGATGAGGCGAGAAATGATTAAAACGAATGGAACAATAATCATTCGATCATCGCTTGACAGCTACGTAGCGCGTTAAAGTTTGCGCGTGCCTCTACGATTGAAGCTCGAAGCTCGGGCTCAAGTGAAACGGGAAAATTTTTCCACAAAATTAAATTAAATGAAAACTACATAAATTCATGTTTAGCGCGCGCGATGCAAAAAACGCGCTCGGTTATGACCTGCCCTAGTTGAGAATTTAATTTCAAGCATTTTTTTACATACAGCATTATAATTCATAATTTGAATTCCAATGACGTTTAAATTGAAGCGTAAAAAACGCGTATACATTGTTAGCAGCGCCAAAATTATTTTCAGTGGAAAAATTTAATTACCAGGAGTAAAATGATTAAAGGCAAAGTCTTAAAAATCAGAAAAATGTAATTAAAAGCTAAACATGCAAAGCACACTCGTGCGAGCAATTATTTTGGATTAAAACACATTGATACTCGTGTTTATTTACTTTTTACAAGAGTCTTCGATGGCTCTTTCCTGTCGAGCTTTCGAAATCTATTGACATAGAAGAGACGATAATGTAAGCATATCGATAAACAGTCGCGCGCAGGAATACATACACACAGAGAGCAAACAAAGACGGCTAGCTGATAATGTCCCAGGCGGTTATAAATCGATCGGGCAGAGATTTTTGTCAAGCCTCAAGAGACTTTAAGCCATTAATATTCTAATTATCCATTTAAAACGGCCCGAGCTAGCATCTGGACATTTACATAAAAGACTACTGCTGCGGCTGGCGCGTTGTTGCGCGAGCGCCACATTATAAAGGCAAAATGACGTAGCATGGCGGTGTGTGTACCAGCACGCGCCCGGCTAGCTTCTAATTTATAGCCCTTTTTAAAACGGTCACATTTGCGTGAAAGACAATCTGGGCGCGAGATCGATAAATGCCAAAAATTGTATACTCGTGCGCGCTCGTTACGAGTGTCACGCGTGAGAAAATAAACATACGCGCGCATATCCGATCGCAATCGAGTTGACAGTCCTCGAGTTCCTCACGTGTCGCGCGCGATATCGTTGGGTTTTTTCTTTTTTTTTTTTTTTTTTTATAAACTCGAGCAAGTACTACTCGTGCGCACGCGGGGAGACTAATTTTCTGCAATCTGTCGGAAAAATATACTCGATGCTCGGCGCAAAAAGCTGCTGCTGCAGGTCTCGCGCAAGAATACTCTGCGTTTTTTCATCTTTTATACATGCGTCGTCTGCGTGTGCTACATAAACACATATGTAATAATACGCGAGTGCAGGATATACGTATACGCGTTTATGCCGGGTAGACGACGACGACGAGGACGCATGCAGAGACCCAGAGCTGCTCAGGCTGCGCAGTGCGCGCGCGAGACGCAATCAGACCGCCGCCGGGCAAACGATTTCTACTATATAAATGGTCTCTCTCGTCTCTCTCGTCTCTCTCTCTCTCTCTCTCTCGCTACGTACGTGTGTGCCGTAGCTACATAGGTATAATATTGCGCGATCGGCTCACGATCGTTTCACAAATAACTCTCCGCGGACGCGACAGCTGCCGCTGACGTCGAACGAAAGAAAAAGTGTCCTCACTTTGACTTTAAATCGCATGTAATGTGTCCCTATAGATATATACTACACACTGCACGCGATACCTATAAACACGCGCAGAAGGAAATTCTTGCAGTCATCGAGCGGGCTTCTGTCACTTTTGTATGGTACATCCGCTCGAAGCTATAGCTGTGCATGCGCACGCACAGTCACCGTGTTCTTTGCGTTGTACTTGCACGAGCTATATATCGATGGCCGAAGTTTGCTCTGGACTTTGGAGCTTAGCGTTGTTGTGCCGCTATACCACGCGCATGGAGCACGGGGCTGCTGCTGGATCGCGTATAGTCGTTACAGAATCTGTCCAGTCAGCCGGACTAATTAAACTACTTGGCTGCTCGCTGAGTTTGTTGTGCGAATAATTAATGCCCTGTACGTGTGTGCGCGCGTGTGTATAGGTGCGCTGCCAGTGGGGTTTGTCCAATCGTATTCGTCTCAATTACACTCGATTAGTTCAGGCCCCATACATTGGGCTTGCGCGTGACGATGGGGGCAAGTGCAGCTTTCGAATCTCGCGAAAAATGCCTCGCGCATGCACAATGTACGCTGCGCCTATACTCCGCATCATATCGTGTATACTCTATATACAGTATATATAGACATTTCAAAGCTGCAGCGCCCGGGCTCGTGTTGAGTGTTTATTTACAAGCTTCGAGAGTAATAATACTGTATTTGCGCTGACTCATTGGGATCGCGGCTCCAACGACGTACTCTATATAGCACGTATACGCGCGCGTGTGCATGCATATATCTACACACGCGCGGACGCGGTATATACGCGTGGATTGTATGACAGCATCAATTACGCAGGAGCATTTTAAAGCGAAATACCGACTAGCTCGTTATCCTATATATAGGCTATAGCTCGAGCTCGCAGGATCCGAAATGGGCGCGCGAGTTGTTTATTGCGCGCGTCTGGATAAATCACGATATAGTATAGGGCTAGGCGCGCGTGGACGGACTACACGTACTACGATATATATATAATATAAAATACGCGCAATGCCAGCCCTCGACATGGCGCGCTGCACATATGCAGTCAGCAACAGGACGCGGCCAGTACAGCGAGCATCAGCTACACTTTGAGCTGCGCGAGGCAGCGCGAATATCTATTTCGTGTTTGCGGAGCGCGAGTAATTTATGAATAGGCGATCGATGATTAGTCGCCGCTCTTGGCCGCTCGAGCGCGCCCGCAAGAAAATGCCCCGGCAATTTGCGAGTCCGTAGCGATTTACGACCCACACGCGCGGATTTGGCTCAATTAAATCTCTGCTCCTCGTATTTCTTTTTCCTCCGTGCGTGTATCTCTTCAAGGCGCCTCGTCCTGGCCGCGACGAGACACGGCGACGTATTTATCGCTGAAAAAGTGAGGCGCACCGAGAGAGAGCTTAAAGTGAAAATAAACCGTGTGCAGCATATAAGAGTATACGTGTAGACACAAGCTCGGTCTTTGCGGATGGCCTAAGTTAACCGCGGGAACAAAGAGACTCGCGGTCTCGTGCACTCGGCTCGTACATTTATAGCGATGTCTTATCCCGCAGAGGAGCAAAAAAGGCTGCAGTTTCTGAGCTCGAAACGTATACACACACACACTCACACATGCACTGCGTGAATACCTATAGGAGCTCGCGGCTCTTGCTGCTGCTCTCTTATTCAATTGTCAAAAGACAGAGAAAAAGAGAGAGGGAGAGAAAGAGAGAGAGAGAGAGAGAGAGAGAGAGACTGTGCGAAAGCGCAGATAGGTATACGTACGTATATAAAGTAAGGCCTGCTTCCTTTGCTACGCGCTATATATAATATAAAGGTATGTTGACTATATGTATAATTTTGCAGAGACAAAAGCCACTGATACTGCATGCATAAACACTATATATACGTCGTCGTAGCAGCCCTGATGTATATAAAGAAGATGTTGACATGGGACTGTTTAATACATTATATCGCGACCGATATTTATATGCATTGACTTATATATATACGCTCGTCGTCTGCGATCGAGCTATCAATGCATTTATACGACCGACGAGCTGCAGTAGAGCACATTATCATATCGAAAAGCAGCGATCGGTTTGAAATTGTAATTCTCCGCATAACAATTGTCGTTTCACGTGAGAATCGGAGAAACTTACGCGTATAATAATATAACTGCGAGCATCGGAGCTCGGACTATGGGGAACGCTTTACACACATAATGTGTATAGTGTATACGCAATCGCATTCGGAACATCATTGTCTGTATTTACTTGCGCGCATGTATACCTATAGTCCGCATGCAAGTGTCGTCGTCGTTGTCGTCGTCGTCGTCGTCGTCGTCGTTGAGATTATAAACGCGTATAATTCGTATAGTTGCCGCGAGTGAAATTAATTTTACAGCCACGCGACGGCGCACAGCTTCTCTTTTCATCTCGTAAATGCAATATACACACATTGTGTAGTGCGCTGCACTGCTCGCACACACAC